GGGGGGGGCGACATAATTTCTACTCACTGGGAGAGCTGGCCAAAGCCTGGAATGGAGGCCGCGTACATTTCCATTACTTTTCTAAGGGGTCTGGGGGCTTGGGGGGAGGGAGATTGGGCCTCCACACATTTTCTTGGGCTAGTCCTGAGAGGACATCTGGACACGTGTGCTTTCTGGGGTGGGTGTAGACAGCCTCCCAGAAACATCTGCGTTTTTAAAAAGTGGATGCTTCTGGGATAAAAGGCTGCCTGGATCTGCCCTTTGTAATGCAATTTACATATATGAAGCACCTTGATAATAAAGAGGAGGTCTGGGCCCCTGATTAGAGATATGTATATGAAGAAATTGAACAATTGTCTTTGCATCCACAGGTGCTACTTTTTATGGTTATCACAATGAAGGATATTAGAGATGAAAAGAAATAAATAACTGTAGTGAGATAGGGGGTTTTTTTTTTAAAAGTTGCTTCTGGCATGAGAGAATTGGCCATCTGTAGAGACATTGCCCAGGGGACATCCGGATGTGTTACCATCCTGTGGGAGGCTTCTCTCTTGTCCCCGCATAAGAAGCTGGAGCTGAAAGGCGGGAGCTCACCACGCTCCCCAGATTCGAACCACCGACTGATCTTTTGGTCAATAGTCCTGCTGGCACATGAGTTTTAACCACTGTGCCACTGGGGGCTCCTAGTGAGATAGGTAAGATGCTATAATATGAAACAGTGCCTCATTGCCTATTTAGGTTAGAAACAACTCCATGTGCCATTTGAAATAGGCAAGGTGGCACTTTTAAAAGCAACCCCTTTAGGAAGTCTGCATACAACACAGACATTAAGAGCTGTTTGACAATGAGGGATGCTGTCTTGGAGTGTGGTGGAAGTTTTTAAACATCTGTCGGAAATGCTGTGATTGGATATTCCTATATGACAGAGCAGGGAGTTAGACTGGAAGGCCCTTGTAGTCTCTTCCAACTCCTCTCTAGTGCTGTTGTGACTTGGGGCCAACCAGAGGCTAGCATAACATGTCTGATCAATGTTTGGGAAAGCTACAGCTGTCTGGACCATCCAATCATCACAATCAGATTCTTATTGCTTTTGGCCCAAACATTAACTTTTCCCAGCCCTATCGTGAATTGGCACAAAAACAGCTCAATGGGCCCCATTCTGTGATCTGGTGATGTCTGGTAGCTACCATGCTATCCTCCCACAATAATAAACTTGTCTGTGAAAAAAGAACAGAAAGGAAAAGAGACAGGATTTGTATTCTAGTCTGCTCCAAAGGTCTTCGGCATCTCATTGGATTTATAAGCCTTGGCACGGAATAGAACACTTGGCTATATAGTTGTTGGCTTGAACCATCTTGATTTGTTTGATTACATTTAGGATATTTATCCTATAATTACCTGATGAATGATATAAATGTATGGCTGCTCTTGGCAAACATGGGCTATCCAGGCAGAAAGATAAATCTGTATGAGACTACATGACATTTAGAGTGCCATCCTATATGCACTCATTTGTGAATTTGTTCAGCTGCATGTAGTGGGACACATTCATGCAAAAATATTGTTGCCTGTTCCTGTTAGGTCTTATTAACACTCTGGTCCATTAATTCCCCATGCTATGTAGTCTTACAGGCCATTAGATTAGCCTGGACTAGCTGGACAACTGGTCTGTTTTGCAAGCTGACCTTAATGTCAATGTACCCAAAACTACATTTATGTCAGTGAGATGAGCATTGCAATGAAAAGACCTGAGACTGTATTGTTGAGTACTGAAAGGAGCATATGAAGAAGAGGGAACAGCCTCTACCTTTAGTATACAGAAGCATTGATTTCAAAGGGCCTTACAGGATAGCACTTAGAAGTACTGAAATCATGCCAGAGATATTTCTAGTATTCCCAACCAAAACAGCATTGTGCATTTATTCTCTCTCTCCTTCTGAAACAGATTGTTGTGTCAAGGAATTGTCTCTCTGGAAGCTTGTTCATTCATAGGGCACCCAATTTTTCAATCCCAGTTAAAGATTGGATTATCGGAGACTATCTCACAAGCATTAAAAGGTTTTGTGTGTGAAGAACACACAATTGGAATAGCTAGGCATTAGACTCCAGACCAAAATGATCTTACAGGACTGGACCTTGTAAGTCTGGTTGTTCTTACAGAGCTGGACAACTGTCAGAGGTTACAAAGTGGGACCCTGGAAGGCCAGCACTGCATAGATTGTGTGTAGAGGGTATTTCCTCCACAGCTCCCTACCAAGAAGCAGAAAAATTGCATTCAAAGCACCCCCAACAGATGGCCATCCAACCTCTGTTTAAAAGCCTCCAAAGAAGGAGCCTCAACCACATTCCAGGGCAGAGAGTTCCACAGCTGAACTCAGGAAGTTCTTCCTCATGTTCAGGTAGAATCTCCTTTCTTGTAGTTTGAAGCCATTGTCCTGCGTCCTAGTCTCCAGCGCAGCAGAAAACAACCTTGCTCCCTCCTCCCTATGACTTCCCCTCACATCTTGATACATGGCCTTCATAATGTCTCCTTTCAGCCTTCTCTTCTTCAGGTTAAACATGCCGAGCTCTTTAAGTTGCTCCTCATAGGGCTTGTTCTGCAGACCCTTGATCATTTTAGTTGCCCTCCTGTGAAAACATTCCAGCTTGTCAACATCTCCCTTCAATTGCGGTGCCCAGAATTGGACACAGTATTCCATGTGTGGTCTGACCCAAGGCAGAACAGAGGGGTAGCATGGATCTAGACACTCTACTCCTATTTATGCAAGCCAAGATCCCACTGACTTTTTTTAGCTGCTGCATGACACTGTTGGCCGATGTTCACTTTCCTGTCCACATGGACTCCAAGGTTTTTTTCACACATACTGCTGTCAAGCCAGGCATCCCCCATTCTGTATCCTTGCACTTCATTTTTTCTGCCTAAGTGGAATATCTTGCATTTGTCCCTGTTGAACTTTTGCTAGTTTTAGCCAATCTCTCCAATTCGTTAAGATCCTTTTGAATTCTGCTCCTGTCTTCTGGGGTATTGACTATCCCTCCCAATTTGGTGTCATCTGCAAACTTCATAATCGCGCCTTCTAATCCTTCTAAGTCATTAATAAAGATGTTGAACAGGACCGAGCCCAGGACAGAACCCTGTGGCACTTCACTTCTTTCCAGGATGAAGAGGAAGATATCAGGGGCTAATTCATTTTGCCAGTTCTCTAAGATTCTCCTGTGCAGAATTGCAGAGAAATGCCATCCTTTTAACATGGGCATGACAAACTTGGTCCCTTCATCCAGGTGTTTTGGACTCCAACTCCCACCATTCATAACAGCTGCAGGCCCTACTTAAGTGGCTGAGTGGGAAAAGGAAAGGGCCTGAGGCTATTGGGAATGGTGGGAGTTGAAGCTCAAAACACCTGGAGGAAGGGCCCAAGTTTGTCCGTGCCTGTTCTAACTTCTGCAACTACAGTAGAGTTTCGCTTATCCAACATAAATGGGCCGGCAAAACGTTGGATGAGTGAAAAAGTTGGATAATAAGGACGGATTGAGGGAAAGTCTATTAAACATCAAATTACATTACTATTTTAGAAATTAAGAATTTCTTTTACAACAAATGCCTTGAGTCAGGCCCGTAGCCAGGATTTCGTTTCGGGGGGGGGGGGGGGGTGAATTTTTTTTAGGGGGGTTGGGTGGTTCGGGGGGGCTGAGTCTGAGTGAAAGAGGGTCTACCCTAGCAAACCTTATGTATCATTACCCCAATACCCCCATGCATATGGGATATATTGAGTATGGTGATCAGATCATGATATGAATAAACATAACAGTTTAAATAATGCACCAGTAAGGCCTTTTAGCGAACCACCATGAGAATTTCGGGGGGCTGAAGCCCTCAAGCTTCCCCCCCCCCCCCCGGCTACATGCCTGGTAGTAATTACTGTATTTATGAATGTAGCACCAAAACATTGCAATGTATTGAAACAGCGGGAGGCAGTCTGCATTGAATACATAGTGTTGGATGAGTGAAGGTTGGATAAGCGAGACTCTACTGCACCTTGGAGTGAGCTTTGAGAACTCTGAAAAGATCTATGGCAACTCTATTTCACCCTTATGGACTCCCCCATAAAATCTGAAGCCACGGAGATGCTGGCTTTCCTCGAATAATCTTGCTACTTCATCACACTAGAGAATGAATCCACTTTAAATGCAGTTTCTGCCTCCTGCAGAATTCTGGGGTTTGTAGTTTAGTGAGGCTGTTAAAGGCTCCTCCCTAAACTACAAACTCCAGAATTCTTCAGGAGGCAGAAACCAGAATTTAAGTGGATTCATTCCCTAGTGTAATGAGGACATGCGTGGCCTTTTGCCGCATCAGACTAAGGCGGCAATCCGTCTGAAAAATATACCTTCCATGTATTCTGGAAGGCTTTCATGGCCAGAATCACTGGGTTGTTGTACATTTTTCAGGCTGCATGGTCATGTTCTAGAAGCATTCTCTCCTGACGTTTTTTTCCTGCATCTGTGGCAAGCATCCTCTGAGGTTGTGCGGTTGTGCTTGCCTGCATCTGTGGCAAGCAACCTCTGAGGATGCTTGCCACAGATGAGGCGAAACGTCAGGAGAGAATGCTTCTTGGACATGGCCATACAGCCCGAAAAACCTACAATAACCCAGCATACCTTCTCTTCACTTGTTGAATCCCTAAGTTCCACTAACATCCTCAACTAAAGACAACTTTCCTCGGGCCTCGAGGAGCGCCCCTCCCAACGCCAGAGGACACTTCTTCTCTGGGAGGGGGGATTCCCACAAGCCACGCAATGCCCAACCCGGTCCACGCGCTGTATCCCTGTGTCTGCCAACACGGAGCATCTACCGCATTTCTCTCTCTCTCTCTCTCTCTCTCTCTCTTCTCTTTCTGGGAAATTGATTTCCCGGCGTGGTTCCGCACGGCTTCCCGCTCCCTGCCTGTYCTCTCCCTCCCACCGCGTGGGGATAAGGGCCCCTCCCGGGCTTGAGTCGTGCGTGGGCTCCCCACTCTCTTCCTTCTCTTCCTCCCCCTCCTCTTGGCTCGCCCGGCGCCTCGGCATTGCAGCAAAGGAGGAGGGAAAGCGACCCGGGGAGTCCTTTCCCCGCCTCCTGCTTTTGGGGCTCCTCCGTCACGCCTCGGGGCTCCTCCTTGGAGGAAAGGAGGGAGGAGGAGGAAGAGGAGGAGGAGGAGGAGAAGCCTCCCTCCTCCCCTCCTTCTCCATCAGTCCGCCGCTGCTTCCAGCCAGGCAGCCGCAGCGCTGAGCGAGAGGAGAAGACGCTGCAGGTAAGTCGGGCTCTTCATTTAGGGATGCTTTTTTGCAGTCAGGACCAAACAGTCATACAGTCTCTCCAGTCTGGAGTTTGCGCACCGTTATACCTCCCTTTTGAGGGAGTTGAAGGAGTTGCTCCGCCTTGAGGGAAGAGGCAAAGGCCCCGACAAAGCGGGCGAGAAGAAGTTTGGCCGAGTTTAGAGATTTGGTGGTAGCCCGCTCCGGATCGCCTGTGCTGTACTGCTGCTTCTTCTCCTTCTCCTCCTTCTACTTCTAATTCTCCTCCTCCTTCTTCTTTTCCTTCTCCTCCTCCTCCTCCTCCTACTTCTAATTCTCCTCCTCCTTCTTTTCCTTCTCCTTCTCCCTCTTCTTCTCCTTCTCGTCTTCCTCCTCCTCCTTTTCCTTCTCCTCTTCCTCCTTCTCCTTCTCATCCTTCTTCTCTCCCCCCCCTCCTCTTCTTCCTCTTCCTCTGCGAGATTGATTGCCAGGAAAAGCAAGGGCTGAGGGAAGCCTCTCCTGAAGGCAAACCCCAGCGGTGGATCTCAAGGGGTCCCATCTAAAGCCTCAGACTGACAGCTACCCTCTTTGTATCTCTCCAATCTTAAGAGTGCATCTCTACCAGGTATGGGCCAACTTGGGCTCTCCAGGTGTTTTGGACTTCAACTCCCACCATTCCTAACAGCCTCAGGCCCTTTCCTTTCCCCCCTCAGCCGCTTAAACTGAAGTCCAAAACACCTGGAGAGCCCAAGTTGGCCCATGCCTGATCTATACTATAGAATGGGTGCAGTTTAACATCACTTTAATTGCTATGGTTTAAGACAGAGAAGGCTGAAGATGCCCAGAGGCGCTGAAAGCGCTCCCAAGGAAGGAAAGCCGCAGTTGGGAAGAAAGAGAGGGGAGGAAGAAAGGGGAGAAGGTGCCTGAGATCTGAGCCAGCCCTTTGCGGCGCGATGCGACGGGGAAGGAAAACCCGTGAAGCGTTTCCGAGGGCTCCAGCACAGACCCACACACGCCAGCACCTGGCATCTTTACACCAGGGTGACTCTCCCTTCCCTTCCCTTCCTTCCCTCCCTTCTTCCGCAGCCTGGCATTGGTAGTTCCATCAGAGCCCCGAGAGACTATATCTAAAGTTCAGATAAACTGTTGGGGTTGTTGTGAGTTTTTCGGGCTTGTATGGTTAGGACACAGTAGCACTCTCTTCTGACTTTTCACCCACATCTGTGGCACGCATCTTCAGAGGTTGAGGTCTGTTGGAAACTAGATATCTCTGGACTGTCCAGGGTGGGAGAAAGAACTCTTGTCGGATGGAGGCAAGTGGGAATGTTGCAATGGATCACCTTGATTAGCATTGGGTGGTTGTGAGTTTTTCGGACTTGTATGGTTATGTTCCAGTAGCATTCCCTCCTGACGTTTCGCCTGCATCTATGGCAAGCATGCGCATAGGTGATGAGGTCTGTTGGAAGCTAGACAAGGGAGGTTTATATATCTCGGAATGTCCAGGGTGGGAGAAAGAACTCTTGTCTGTGAGGCAAGTGTGAATGCTGCAATTGACCGCCTTGATTAGCCCTGGGTTGTTGTGAGTTTTTCGGGCTTGTATGGTTATGACCTAGTAGCACTCTCTCCTGACGTTTCGCCTGCATCTGTGGCAGGGTTGATTTATTAATGCGTCGAAAGCGGAGTACATCCAATCCAATCAACAGCATTTCAGGAGTCCCGTTCTGGACCTTGTAAAGTTCCCTTCTTTCTATAGCTATTTCCTGATTTATTTTTTGCTGGAAGGGAGGGGGCTTGAGGGGAGAATGGCATGAGTCTCTGGGGAGGGGCGGGGACCCCTTTTCCTGGGAGCAGCCGATGAAGGGGGGCGGGAGGCGCGTGGGAAGCCCACTGGGCGCATGTGCCAATCGGGAGTCTCTCCTGCTCTGGGAATCCCTTTCCCTCTCTCTCTCTTCCTCCCCCCCCCCCCCCCCCCCCCCCCCCGGTCTTCCTGGAGAAGGCGGATCACTGGGGATGATGCTTAGGATGGAGATTGGAGGGGTGGAGTGGGGGGTCCGAACTCCGTGTTAGCACTTTTCACACGTGACAGAAACAAGAGGGGAGAAGGGCAGGCATGGTGCAAAGCAAACCCCTCTCCTTTCCCACCCTTTGATGGTCCTTTGGGACACGGTGTTTTCCGCATAAGGTTTGCGAATGAGACAGAAAAGCTCCCCTGGAATAACTAGGTCTGGGAATATTGTGTGGCTCTGGGGCCAGGCGTCCCCCACCTCGCCCCCCACTCACTCCCCACATCCAGTGGGAGACAGTCCCAAGGAAGAGGAGGAATAGAGAAGGGAAGAAGCCTTCCTCTTGCTCCTGGGGATGGCCAGCCTTTCTAAGGCTGCATTGCACACACTGCAGTGCAGGGAGAAATGACAACAAGTAAATGTGGTCTTTTCAGAAAGCTGGCACACGGGTCTGGTTCCAGAGGGCTGAGTGACTCTGTGGTCGGAAATATCAGCATTGGTTGTCTGTTCTTAAAAGTAACCAAGACCGTACATGATCCAAATACTAGGAATATTATACTAGTGGGTCAGATACTAGCAAGAGTTTATTTAGGACAGTAAATAAAGAACAACACTGAAAACAGGGGAATTCCAGGCATTAAACAATCAGGACCAGCTAACACCTCCCAACAAAGGATTCCCCCAGGTAGGAACTAGCCAGACCTGGAAGCTGAAAGGCTTTGCGGTGCTAATCAAGGTGATTAATTACAACATTCACACTTGCCTCCAACAGAAAAGAGTTCTTTCTCCCACCCTGAACCTTCCACAGATATATACACCTCCTTTGCTTAGTTTCCCATATACCTCACTATCTCTGAGGATGTCTGCCATAGATGTGGGTGAAACGACAGGAGAGAATGCTTCTGGAACATGGCCATACAGCCTGGAAAACTCACAGCAACCCAGTTTATTTGCTCTTAAAATTACTGGAAATTAGTAGTATTTTAGGGGTGTTTGTCTACAAATACCAAATTACTATTTGCGGGTGTTTTTATATTAATGTTAGCATTCCACCTTGTCAGGCGGGGATGTTAGTTTCGTGTGTGCAATTTATTGCTGGGTGGAAATAATGATTGCGCCTGTAATTAAAAGCGGCAAATCTATCGTAGGAAACAAAACATGATGCAAAATTGACGTAAGCAAAACATAAGACACACATGTGTTTTAAAAGTCCCCATCTTCCAATTAAATCAATATTTTGCTTGTAACAGACTGCAGTGTGACTCCTACATCCAGAAATGTCTCCAGATATTTAAAGGTATTTTTAAGCGTGCTCGTATTTTACGAGTTCTTGCTGCAGTAAAAGTGAATCTAGGCAAAGTAAAAGGTTGATAGTTAACTTAATTTCAAGAATACAGATGTATGACATATATGTGGATAAAGGAAGCAAAAGGTAAATGTGTTGTCAAAGGCTTTCATGGCCGGAATCACTGGGTTGTCGTGAGCTTTCTGGGCTGTATGGCCATGTTCCAGAAGCATTCTCTCCTGACGTTTCGACTGCATCTATGGCAGGCATCCTCAGAGGGTAAATGCTTCTACACATTCCTTTTATTCTTTATGAATATGGATTCTACAGGGTCATATTTGTACATAAACATACATAGAATTGTTCTATTAGTAAAACCTCCTTTGAGCACCAGTAGATTAAAAAAAAATGAAATATCCACTGTATATTTAAAAGAATATGCAATGCTGAATGGAGGGGGATATTGTTCTATTACAAGGCAGAACTTAGTGTTTGCTTTTAATGTGTATATTGTATTAAAAAAATCTATTTATACAACAGTGAGGATCCCCCCCCCCCCGATTTTGAAGGCATAGTGATGCAATGGAAACTGAAAAGACAAAAGCATCCATAAAAGCCTTTGCCTGCATTCCTCTCTACCATATTGATTGCATAATGAAAAAACGGGTGTGGAATATGAGTGCTTAAAATGTGATAAATGAATATTTTTCAGTGTCTTGAACAGTCAGTGTTTTTATGTATTGTCGAATGCTTTCATAGCCGGAATCACTGGGTTGTTGTGAGTTTTCCGGGCTGTATGTCCATATTCCAGAAGCATTCTCTCCTGACGTTTTGCCTGCATCTATGGCAGGCATCCTCAGAGGTTGTGAGGTCTGTGAAATTAGTGTTTTCTAAAATACAAAAAGAGAATTGATCCGTGAAGGGCCTTTAGGCTCATAAAAAGCTAACCACTTGGAGCAGGATGGAGCTGGCTAGATGGGTATAATGTAAAGATAGAAGAAAATGCAGTACCTTTAGTGTAAATCTGAAGACTGAAAATGCTGTTAGATTGTGTCGTGTTATTCTTGGACTCATCTGTACTGGAAGAAAGACCTACTGATTTTAATAGTACTGACTTCTAAGTAAATGGTGCATGATCAAAACAAGCTTACAGACAACAGAGTCCAAACCTTGTCGTCTTCAAGAGAATGCCCGATTGAATAGGGTCAAGATTGCTCCATCAGTCAAGGAACCAGATTACATTGACTATGCACTGCGGGAGATTTATGTGGTTGTATTTATCAAAACCTGAACATCGATGCTTTAAAAAAAATCAAAATACATCAATTAAGTTAAGTGAATGTGAAAACATGAAAGCAGTAGCTGCCGTTGTCTTTGTTTTATGTAGCATATAGTATTTAACGTCATGACACAGTAGGGAATTGGTTTTAAAATGTCATGGTCATTGTGTATGTAGCTTCCCTTTACTGAGCGTATGTCTGTAAAGAGCTAAGTATTTTTTTTTTATTACAGAAGAGCATCAGATATATTGAGTATATATGCCGGAGGGCACGAACAACAATGTTAAATTGTATGCTAGGCTTTTAATGTTTCTCTTTAAGATCAGAAATGTATTTTTTAAAAATCTGCTGTAGGACTGAAGTTGAAAGATGGGGCATTCTTTCAAGAGGCATTTCAGGAAATATAATAACTTAAAATTAAGTCCTAGTGAGTGCTGCAAATAACAATA